CCGCGCCGGCCACACCGCTGCAGCAGCGGCCACGGCAGCGACAACAGCAGCGTGCTGAGCGGCGAGCTGCCGCCCGCCATGGGCAAGACGGCCCTGTTCTACCACAGCGGCGGCAGCAGCGGCTACGAGAGCGTGCTGCGCGACAGCGAGGCCACCGGCAGCGCCTCGTCTGCGCACGACTCCACGAGCGACAACAGCAGCTCCGTGGGCGGCCGCTGCCGCAGCCTCAAAGCCCCGAAGAAGCGCTCCAACTCAGGTAGGCGCCCGGCCCTCCAGAGGACCCCGCACCCCGAGCCCTGGGCGCCTGAGTGCAGTTCCGGGAGTGGCTGCACCACTGCGCAGCGCTTTCCTAAGCATCGGGTCACCGTCACTAGCCTCGCAGCACGGCGGCTGCGGGTGCCAAAACGTGGGGCTGCTGGCCCCCCGAGACCCGGCGGCCACCCTCCCACGGTGGCATAGAGCCCGCTGGTCGCATGGGCTGTGTGCTGGAGAGGCCCTTCCTGCACATCCCCCAGGCACACTCGTGGACAGTCACGTATGCACGGCCGCCGTGGCGCCTGCAATGTGCCCCACCCTCTGAACTGATGCGAGCGCGCCCACACACACACTGCACCAGCACGATCCCCCCCACACAGTGCACCAGCACGATCCTCACACCACACAGTGCACCAGCACGATACACACACATAGTGCACCAGCACAACCTCACACCAGAGTGCACCAGCACGATACACACACACAGTGCACCAGCACGATCCCCACACACACACAGTGCACCAGCACGATTCTCACACCACACAGTGCACAAGCACGATCCTCACACCACAGAATGCACCAGCACGATACACACACACACACACACACAGTGCACCAGCACGATCCCCCCACACACAGTGCACCAGCACGATCCTTACACCACAGAGTGCACAAGCACGATCCTCACACCACAGAATGCACCAGCACGATACACACACACACACACACACAGTGCACCAGCACGATCCCCCCCACACAGTGCACCAGCACGATCCTCACACCACACAGTGCACCAGCACGATACACACACACAGTGCACCAGCACAACCTCACACCACAGAGTGCACCAGCACGATACACACACACAGTGCACCAGCACGATCCTCACACACACACAGTGCACCAGCACGATCCTCACACCACAGAATGCACCAGCACGATACACACACACACACACACAGTGCACCAGCACGATCCCCCCACACACAGTGCACCAGCACGATCCTCACACCACAGAGTGCACAAGCACGATACACACACACAGTGCACCAGCACGATCCTCACACACACAGTGCACCAGCACGATCCTCACACCACAGAATGCACCAGCACGATCCCTCCCACACACAGTGCACCAGCACAATACACACACACACACAGTGTACCAGCACGATACACACACACACAGTGCACCAGCACGATCCTCACACCACACAGTGCACAAGCACGATACACACAGTGCACCAGCACGATCCTCACACCACACAGTGCACCAGCACAATCCCTCCCACACACAGTGCACCAGCACGATACACACACACAGTGCACCAGCACGATCCCCCCCCACACAGTGCACCAGTATGATCCCAACACACACAGTGCACCAGCATGAACCCTCCCACACACACAGTGCACCAGCACGATCCCCACACACAGTGCACCAGCACGATCCTCACACCACACAGTGCACCAGCACGATCCTCACACCACAGAATGCACCAGCACGATACACACACACACACACAGTGCACCAGCACGATCCCCCCACACACAGTGCACCAGCACGATCCTCACACCACAGAGTGCACAAGCATGATACACACACACACACAGTGCACCAGCACGATCCTCACACACACA